GGAAGGAGAGATATCATGACTCCCCGGTTCAAATTGGTTCAGTGTCCCCTGGCAGTTGTCCAGCAATTTCCTTGCCTTTTGTTGACCTCAAATTTATGGATGGTTACCTTAACTTGCGCAGTTTTTTAAAAGTCTCGCTACCATGTTGTACCCATGGACTTCAGTCCTCTGGGTGAAAGAACGAGAGACGAGAGGTTTGAATGGCCTCATCGCCTGCTCACACCTACTGCACAGAGGCTTTGGGGAGAGCTCATATCACTCTGGCTGTGACCTCTGTAACCACGGCCCGTTACTTTCTGCACTTCGGCAGCTGATGTCTTTGATGCAGATTGCCTCGGCCGAAGGCAGGAGATGGTGTCCCCTACACACCCGCGGACATCGTCTTCAGAGACAACGTTGTCTGGGATCCGGTAGATCCAGGAGAGATTTTGTCAGAATTGAGAGTGCGTCTCCATCTTCTGTTGGCTCAGTTTGAACATCCGTAAATATGTTGAATATAATATTAATTATAATCATGCACATGTTAGTAATTACATTCCTCTGTTTTTTATCTAGAGACCCGGATCACAGCAGTGACCCATTGTACTTGTGGTCCAGCTGTCCAGGCCTCTGTCCGGACAGAGTGCGCAAAGAACACTCTCTGTTCGCGGCTTGATCCATTTCGTTGGTTTGTTATCTTTGTATCTTCAGTCCTGAAGAAATCCAAACTTCCTGTGTTTGTGTTCTTTGGTCTCGAAGTGAAAGTGTGCTGAAGAATCCAAACTTCCTGTGTTTGTCTCTTTGGTCTCCGAAGTGAAAGTGTCCTGAAGAATCTGAACTGAACCAGGCTGGTTTGGATCCAAGGTGTTTCAGACGGAATGTTCGTCTTTGTATCAAAGGAATATTCTATAGGCTTTGATCTTTGGATGACATCATGACATTCAGATGACATCACAGCAAAAAAAAAAAGATTTAAAAAAACGCAACATTCTGACATTAACACAATTTAAAAATAAACACGCAAACTATTTGAAATTCTGATTAATAATAAAATGAATTGAGTTTGTGGAATCAGTAAATTATCAGTAACTTATTTAGTTTATCTTGCATTTTTACATTTAATTGAATGGGTGTAATAGGTTCACTGACTTAGAAAGTGACATTTACGGTGTACATTACTTGCAGAAATGTTGGCAATGTGTGAGCACAAGGTAGCGAACATTACCTAGCTAGCCAATTAACATGATGACAATTAGCCAAATATAAAACCAAATAAACCAGTTGAAAGCAAACACGAGTGCAGAGAATCTGTTGCAGTTTGCTGCTAATGTCTGTGTGTCCTTTACTCTCTGCCAAACCTCGTTAGCAGGGAGTAATAAGTAAAGTAATATTACTTTTGAAAAGAGTAATGAGTAATAAATGACATTTTTGAGTAACTAGCCCAACACTATTTACCACAGTGGACAAGTGGCGTACAAACATGTACATATATAGTGTTGCATTAATCCTGTTAATCCCGCGAGACTGGGACCCCCACTAGGGGTCGCCAAAGATATACCTATCCAATAGCAGACAGGAAGACAAAATTATTGTATTTTGATGTAAAAATACAAAGAAATTTAGTTTTTGTTAGGTTATTTGGATGAACAACTGGATGCTGAAGTTTGGTTCAGACATTCAGGGCCTCCAGAGGTTGAATCCTAGCATGATGATGATTTAATTATGGATCAAGCGGCAGTATTTAACGAGGTGGGAGCGAGGGCTATAAGGGATTGTCTCCTGTCAGATCACAGACTACGAGTTTACATTCATCAATACACACACACCGACATGGAGGTGATTTCACCTTTTCTGCAAATAGCTCAAAGAAATCCGGACCAGTAAACGAAGGAAGCTTTAACGTGCAGAGAGGTTGCGGAGCAGTGAGGCAGTCAGGGACGATAATAAGATGTTAATTTTGGAAGCAAATTTATCAAATGCCCTTTTCCTCTTTTAGCTCCCCAGATATTTCCAGAAGAAATCAACCAGACATGAGGATCATCCTCGTAGACAGATTCATCACCTGAACAGCTGCAGGGTCTATTTTTTTCATATACAAAATTAATCCCTCAAGGAAATGATTATCGCACTGGTTCAGCCAGGCGGCAGCAGGTTGGCTGTCAGGTATGAGATGACAAGGGATCAAATCTTATTAACAACAACTGCTGCTGCAGGATATGTATATATAGTGAGCATGGAATAATACTGGACATCAAAGATTTGACATACCAGGCGCCAAAATATCTTCTATTCTGAATACTAATGAGTGCACATTTAAAATAAGGACCAATTTTACACCACGTCCACCAAATCAAGTTAAATCCTTAAAAAACAAGGTCCTGACCTCACGATGTTTGTGCACACGTTTAGCTAAAAAATGGCATTGAACTCTTCCTACTTCAACAACCAAGATGTTACTAGCTCAGATTCTGTAGTTTAACTTTCAGCTTTGTCTTAGACAGCTTGTGTTTTACTCACATCTTCTTGAAGTCCACAGTGGTGTATTCGGGCCAGTCTATGTAGCAGACTGTGCGTCCAGGCAGCAGGGCGGTTTCCGAGTAGTAGTACTGAGGGAAGGCTAGAAGCAGAGCCAGCATCCAGATCACAAAGATCACCACACGGGTCTCTGTGGACGTCAGCCTCTGCTGCAGGGGATGGATGATCGCCATGTATCTAACAAACACACACAGAGACAGAAAACTCAACTCAACTGTCTGCTGCTATTCTGACCCGTCACAATAAAAGATGATGCAGATTTATAAATTATAGAAGACTGGACTCTTGGCATTGGCGGAGGTCTCTAGATGGTTTGTGTTGACTTTAATAGGAAGGCCTGGGACCTCTCTATCAGAATAAATAACGTTTGTTCTTATTTTGCTTTGTTATCTGACATGTTCTTCCCTGACTTTCTGGATCACTAAGAAGATTTCCAACAATTCTGTGCCTGTACTTTAACCTTTAACACATCAAGCTATGGTACCTCTGGTGGTACATGATGAATATCTAAAATATATATTATATATATATATATATAAAACAAATAATACCACAATACTACAATACTACACAATTTTGAATGAAAATACTGTCATTTTAAGTAAGTTTTGTAATATCAATATCAGCCTGCTATGTAGTCACGTTCATGCATGTAGCGCTTGCATACATCCATGATTAATTAGGAGATAAAATGTGATGATAAGATAGTGAGGAAAAATAATGGTTCAAAAACACTGCAATCGTGGCTCCAAAGAGGAATTATAAGTGTGGACCAGGAGGACCCCTTTTCCACCAGTTTAGCTCTGATTATTGAACCGGTTCCTAACTGTCCGTAGCTGAATATGATCGTCCTACGCTGCTGTATTTCAACCTCAGTCATAATGTTGGTACTTAGAGAGTAAATTCCTGCAAAACTAATGACATTTTCCATCAGCCTCAGCTGTAGCCTACTTTGTGTTTCATGTTAATTAAAAGATGTTAGAATGCCAACACGTATAAACATCAGTTAGAACTGTCATTGTGAGCATGTTGGCATTAGCATTTAGCTCAACCTAAGTATAGCTTTACAGAGCTGTTAGCTCTGGCTGCAGACTCTTAGGGGCCAATCACACAGAGACGCACCCCTAGAAACAAAACCATAGTTTATATAGAGCTATTTTACATAGAGTTTATAGAGCTACGGAGCAGGGATGTAGTGGGGTATAAACCTCAGTCATCCAGCTCCACGTCTGCTCCAGGCATTTTAAAAGCGGCTCCTTAATCTTCTTTCCTTTCTTCTTGTACAGAACAATGCAAGCCAGAACTGTGAAAATGCATTTATATTAAATAACGTTTCCTTTATTTTGCACCAGTGTCCGGGACTTTCTATACTGCCTATACAGCCTCGAGGTACACACTCTCATTTTGATTTCAGTCCTGTTGTGCAGAGTCAATAGAATAGTAGAATGGCTCTTATAGTGTATATGTACACATAAAGACATATAGTCCCTGCACACATACACACACACACACCTGTCCAGAGCTATGGCCGTCATGGAGTAAATGCTGGCAAATATGGCGGCGATGGGGAAGAAGTTGTGGAAGCGGCAGTAAACCAAACCAAAGTACCACTCGTTGTGAACGGCGTAGGTGAAGTTGATCACTGTGTTGAATGCTGACATCCCAGCTTCAGCAAAGGCCAGGTTCACCTGCAGGAGAGTCTTTTTAAGTCTTTTGTACCACTTTTCTCCTTCTACTTCAGTACATCTTAGAGGGAAATATCGTACCTTTTACTGCATTCATCCGACAGCTTTAGTTACACTGTAAAAAAGTCCAACCACAGTTTCTGTAACAGTAAAACATGGTCATATCTCATAGTAAACCCTTTATTAATAAGCACTTTAAAATAATTTATATGGATTAAAATAGTTTTATTATGTTACAGACTGTAAATTGGACTGAAAACCACATCATTCATAAGGTTGAATTTTGTACAATCTTTGTTCTCTAAGACAGACCAAAAGAAAGTTTGTCACAAGATAAAACGGATATTTAAATGTTCGATTTCAGTCATAACTCAATTTTGAACAAGAGCGCAGTTACTGCGGTTTGGCTTCAAAGGGCAGAATACACGTCCTGCTCCCACGCTGGTGGCCAGGCTGACTGTGACAGTTACAATAGCCTAAAATATTTTAATAAGAGAGGCTGAATATTTTCTACTTAAACTATTCCTGGCCACTGGTGGGGGAGCGAGGTATCTACAGTCAACCTCTGCACTCTAAAGTCGATCAACCAATAAGCAAAAAGTTGACCATATGACACATGAAATAAATAAAAAAAGCTCTTAAATTCAATTTTAATTCATTTATTAGATTTTTGGCAGTTTTTTGTCCTCCGTAGTAGAAACCAGCTAACAAACAATAGACTAATGCATCAGATTGTGAGTTAATAGGGTTGATAGTTTACTGATTTACAAGCATTAGTCAATCAATCAATTAATATAATAATAATAATAATCAGCAATTATTTTGATTGCTTCTCAAATGTGATAATTTGATAAACTGAACAAAACAAGCAAGAAGACATCATCTGACACATTATAAACCAAATGATTAATCAATAAACAATTATCTTTAAAATAACTGATAATAAGTTGATTTATGAGAGAAACTGAGCTAAATCTGAAGGTAAATTTCACCATCTTACACCATCTGTTCAAGAAACAGTTTTGAAATATCTGTTTTCTCCAAAGTGATGAAAAAACATGAATGAACTTTATTAGCTTTTATTAGGGATGTGACAGTCGGACAATGGCATTTATCTATGTATTAGCCTACAAATAAATAGAAAATGTATTTAAATTAAAGATTTATGCTGTTTATTGATAATGATGGATGCACCTGAGTTGAGCTTGAGGAGCACCTTTATTTCACAGATCTGCTTTCTTACAAGTTCATTATAGTTCACAGGTGATACAATAAAATAATAATTCAATTCAGTTTTGGAGACAAACAATAAAGAATCTCCCAAAGGAAACACCAAGAATTCAAAAGTTTTTATCAACTTCTTAAACAAAACATTTAAGAAGAAACCAACAGAACTCACCAGAAAGTAATTGGTGACCGTCCTCATGCGTTTGTGCGCCAGAATAATCCAGATAACCACCATGTTACCAACCACAGACACCGCAACGATGCTGCAATAGGCGACAGCCCAGAGTGTGATCTGCCACACCGGCTGGATGAACTGGTTGAAGCCGTCGCTGCAGTTCACGGACACGTTTGTCCCGTTGGTGGCGTTAACGTCGGTGCCGTTGTAGAGAGGGTCCATCTTCTGGGCATCGGCGTGTTTGGGTAGTTGCTGGGTGTTAAAAATAGATGAGTGTCCCGTGACTCTCTCTTTCTGCTCTCTGTCTCTAGGAGGAAAATGAGCAGTGAATTCGTAAAAAGCGCAATTCCCACATTTTCTGCGGTGGAGCTTGTCTTTACGCACCGTGCGCCCCCGAGGACATCACCGCACCAAAACGCACGACGCGGCTCACCAACCATTCACGTTCTCCAGGCTTTCCAACCAGCACTCCTCCTCCCTCCACTATCCACTCCCCCCTCACACACACACCACATGATTAGTCTTCGTGTTGTCTGGACGATATCAGCGGCTGTAAATCACCGTGTGACCCTGAAATGCAACATAATTTATCTGGACCCCTAATACGATGCGAGCAGGGATTAGTCCAGACTCGCTCTGGGTCAATCTGATGATATTGGTTTATATAATATGATGTTTTTTAATGTCCAAAACAGGTAAGAGTATACAAACAATAAATAAAGGGTTTATAACACAATATAAAGCTGCAGTGAGCTGAGATAATAATGAGATCTTTAAGTGTTTGTTGATGGAGATAATTATAAAACATCTAACTGATATATAAAAAATATAATCACTGACTGACAACATAAAACAGCTGTAATCAATATAATGTTTATTGATAATGTTGACAATGACACACTTGGAACTGGAGGGTGAAGCGAGTTGGTTGCAATCTAAAATTACACCGTTAGACGCCACTAAATCCTTCACCCTGGACCTTACATTCCAGTACATTTTCCTCATTGTACTTACATACTGAGTCATTTTACTTATAGTTAGACCTATAAGTAGTTATCTGAGTAAAGAGTCTGAATACTTCCTCCACCAATGGTTAGGTATAAGCTAGTTAGCCAGACATGCTAACGTTAGCAGTTTATGTTAGAGCAGATTAAAGCTGCATTGAAGTGGATTCAGTCAGGTGGAGACCTTCTGGACAGCACACGGTAAAACAAAACATACACACAGGCGATACGTTTCTACGGTGACGTCGTATCGTTAATGAAGAATTGAACAGAATATATTGAATACAATTATTTTATGTAATTTATTAGTGTCTCATCCAGATCGCCCATGTTTTCTCCTTGTGTGAGCGACTGATTTATAACATCTGGTTTCAAATTCTGTCTGCACCGGAGACGGCTCACATTGTTTTGATTGGCCCACGTTTTCTTCTTTCTATTTTGCATCGTTTTTGGCCAATTTCCACTGAAACAACGTTTACCGACGTGTTTCTGTGCAAAAGGTAAATTATATAGTAAGTAGGTACAGCTTAATTTATATAGAACTTTTGAAAACATCAAGTTACAAAGCTCTTTTCTGTCCTGCATATATAAACATATAGTATACATACACAATCATATACATATATAAAGAACATATAAATACTACGGATGAATAAAACATGACACAGTCGATAGTTGTCCAGTGAAGGCTTTGTGAGGACATGTGGACGTTCATGGTGTCAGTTCCAGCACACACTTACCTAAAGGACCAGTGTGTAGGATTTAGTGGCATCTAGCAGTGAAGTTGCAGATTGTAACCAACTAAATACAGCTCGCCTTCTAAGCGTGTAGGAGAAAATTTGGTGGCTGTGAAACACCAAAGTTCCTATCTAGAGTCAGTGTTTGGTTTGTCCATTCTGGGCTACTGTAGAAAGATGGCGGTTCAATATGGCAGACTCCATAAAAGAGGACCCGCTCCCTCTGTAGATAAAGTACCTTGAGACCTTTCTTCCAATGAACAAAACAAACATCAAATCTTCACACTTTGGGCGATCATTAAGAATTGTTTAGATGCATATTTATGATGATAAAAAATCCTAAACTATACATCATTATAATGTTTACACTGTTATAATGATAAAGTCAATAAAATGAGTCATTAAAGCAAACTGGAATTAAATCACCAATATTTAAAATACTGCACTAATTTAAGTTCGCTCAAAACAATAGTTTGATTTCAAATCAGTAGGAGGAGACAGCAAAAGTAATGTTGTAACTAGTCATTTTTTGGAGGGTAACTGTAATATTATTGAAATTTATTGGGGAAGATAATATGCCACACTGGTTATAAAACATCTGTTTATTTACTGCTTCTAAATACAAAATAGTTGTTAAAGTGTTTCCAGAAAGTAACAAATACATAAAAGTTTTATGCAGATTTTCCACCACTGTCATTATTTCAGAGTCAGTCAGTTTTGAAATTGGCTCATGGTCTCGTGCTTATTGATTTCATGCTTCAACATTTGATGCATTCTAGACGAATTATGTCCATTCGTATATAAGCAGTAAATAAATGAAGCAGCTCTGCTTGTGTAGCTGTGAATTATGTGACTGTTGGGTCATAAGGTCACCGGATTGTGGCCTGCCTGGCTAAATTGCATGTCAGCTTACCAAAGTAATGGAAAAACAGATATGTGGCACCACACATAAACAGAGCGTATTTATCTCTCGGCAGTCAGCACAACTACTGCTCGCTGTCTGTCTGTCTGTCGCATCAGATCGGTGCTGTTAGAATCCACTGCAGGGAAAACAGGAATTCAATCTCATTTGTCACCTGCTCCCCTCACAGCTGCTGTATCCAACACCCCAGTGCAGGTAGTGAAAGCTCATGTCTGAACTTGATGAGGAAAGGATGTGACACGAACAAAGAGAAGCAGAATTCACCCGAGAACGACAGGGAGCTTTCTTCATTTATCTGTTTTATCTGCCACCTGGTTTCATGTAGAAACACAAATTAAAAAGTGAGGATTATAACAAGGACACAACGACGTAATGGAAGATTTAAAGGTGCCATATGAAATAATTTTAGTTTATAAAGTTTAAAACTTTACTGAAATTATCAACAGAACGTGAAGAAATAACAGCTTTGACGTTTGTGTTGTATTGCAGAGATATCTACTGAAGTTAGCATGCTAGCAAGGCCGCTTTAATACACGGGCTTACCTGGGCTGAAGCCCAGGGGCCTCCCGGGTTCAGGGAGCACCCAGCACGGACAAAGATCGCTATCCCACACACCGGAGGGAGCGGAGGAGGCGCAGGCCGCGCAGGTGGATGTAGCTGGAGAGGAGCAGGGGAGAGGAGGGGAGGAGGAGGGGGGAGCACACAAGCCCCAGAGAGAGGACCAGGCTGCAAAGCAGTTAGGGGGAGTCGAGTCAGATGACCCATATAACAGTGACCCGGGCCGCTGGGGAAAACAATACCTTGACCACAAAAGTGCGCGCTTATTGGGCCGGAAA